TTTTAGAATCGGTCTTGGGAATGTATATGTAAGAAAAAAATATTGATTAAAATTCTAAAATATCTATAATTATTTATAAAATAATAATATAAATAAATAATTGAGCCATTTTTATTAATAATTTGATTTATTTTATTTGTATTAAAAGAAGAAAAAGACTTAATTTATTAGTGCCCAGAATTTTTGTGATGCTGCAAGTATTGTATTTTTGTTGCAAGTATTGTATTTTTGTTGCATTATAATTTATTAGTGCCCAGAATTTATATAGAACAAAATTTTTGATTAAAACAATTTTTATAATAAAAAACTGTTTTTGAAACCAGTAAGATAATGACTCTTTGGGACGGCTTTCTTCTTATTTTCTAAAGCAGTTTTTTAGTACAAAAATTTCTTAAATTTGAAATTTTTGTAATAAAACCCGTTTTAAAAAGCAGTATGAAAGTTATCCCAAACGAAGCCTTAGAAAACAATGGATTCAATAATGTGATTAAACTTTTGATAAAAAAAATTAAAAGGGGTGAGATAAATTTTGAAATGAGCATAATATAATTTTTAGTTAGTTTTAAATTTAGTGTATCTCAAAATAAATTAAAATTTTTTTATATTCTGAACTGAAACTTTTCACATGATGTTACGATACATGTAATTGTAAGCTAAAATTATACAGAGATTACTATGTTTCAAGAAAGTTATTAAAGATTGTTGCGTCCTGGAGTATTCGCGGCGGTAGAGAAATATATAGTTTAACGTCTTAGCATTGTACGAAAATCCTGCACACACAGATAAAAAGAGAGGGTATAGTGTTCATAAGAGACACCAGAATTTTTAGGTGGAAATCCCTGAAAAGAGGGAAAGGCCTTGGGGCCTGACCCAATTTGAATGAATCCACTAGTATTTGCAGTCGATTACAAATGAGGCCCTTCTTAGAGAGAAGGCCTTGGCTTGATGTTACAAATGTACATCATATAGAGCGTATTACATGGTGGGAGTTACAATAATCAACATAGACATGTTTGTTTGGTTGGAAGGGCCATTGTCGGCAAGAGATAGAGGTCATAAAGACATTTGTCTGGCGATGTAGGTCGGAAGGACCGTGGTCGGCAGGAGACCAGAGGCCAGAAAGACTGTTGTCTGTTGATGGAGGTCGAAAGGACAATAGTAGGCGACGGAGGTCAGAAGGACCGTAGTCGGTAGGAGATCGGGGTCAAAGAGGCTGTTGTCTGGAGATGGAGGTCAGATGGACCATAGTAGGCGACAAAGGTCAGAAGGACCGTAGTTAGTAGTAGACCGGGGTCAGAAATAATGTAGTAGAAGGGCGGTACTTCAGTAGAAGTCCGGGTGTCAGGTGATGACCGAGTGGAGCTCAGGGCCTCAAGTGGTAGTCTAGCGGAAGTCCAGACCTCAGGTAGTGGCCTAGTGGAGCACATGGCCTTAAGTGGTGGTCTGGAAGAAGTCTGGGCCTTAGGTGATGGTACAGCTGAGCAACGGCGTCAGGCGGTGGTTCGGCGGAGGTGAGGACCTCAAGTGGTGGTACGACGGAGGTGATGGCCTCCAATGGTGATCCGAGGGAGCAACGTTGTCAGGAGGTGGTCCGGCGGAGGCGAGGACCTCAAGTGGTGGTCCGGGGAGCAACGACGTTAGGCGGTGGTCCGGCGGAGGTGAGGGCCTCAAGTGGTGGTCCGGCGGAGTGCAGGGCATCAGGTGGTGGTCCAGCGGAGCACAGAGCGTCAGGTGGTGGTTCGACGGAAGTCCGGCAGTGGTGGACCAGCGGTGGTTCGACAGAACTCTGGCGGTGGTCCAGCGAAACTCCGGCGGTGGTCGAGGAGGCAAGGAAGCAA